TTCTTAATGCTATATTTCCATCGAGGTTGCTCTTGTTCAGTCAATATTTTTCACATGGTCTTTCCAAGATGTTGGGCTTTTTTAAATTTGTTTAGCTGTTCAATTTTTCATCCTGCTGTTTGAAAGCTATAGATATCAATCTGATAAACTAGTATCACAGATGACTGTTGTTGAAGCTATTGTTGGGAAAAAGAAGATAAATCCACCTGCTAGTTCTTCCCAGTTGCACCCATCGGTTGTGTCTCTGTTGAGTGAAGGAGTTGCTCAGAATAGCACAGGGAATGTTTTTGTGCCTAAGGCAAGATTATTTCTGTTGTTCATCATATTCATTATGCTAAAGTCGAGAGATAAATAATTTTCATGCATGAGAAAATGTGTTCTTGTCTAAGATTAAATGTTTTACATAGGAAGTGACTTTTGCTTCTGACTTATCAATTGGTTCTGCTAATTATAGTTTTTCTTCTTCATAAGTTGCACGGGAATCTCATTGAATTACATTCATTTTTCCAGGATGGTGGTGATGTTGAGATTTCTGGATCTCCTACAGAAAAAGCTATCCTTTCTTGGGCAATATAAGTACCCCCAGAACTTGGTCCCTCATCTTCTTCTGATTTATTTTTGTTTGCACATGCTAATCATTGAAAATTGTATTGCAGTTGGGGAAGAAATTTGATGCTATCAGATCAGAATCCACTATTCTTCAAGTTTTCCTTTTCAACTCTGAGAAAAAGCGAGGTGGTGTTGCAGTACTACAGGTAGTGGCTTCAGTCTAACTTCCTAATACTTTCTCATTTTGTTGATGTTAGTATATTGGGAGACTTAAAATGCAGTTATTAGAAGTAACTGAAAGAATATGGCTAAAACACTAATGGCTCTTTGATGATTTCTCTCCTAGGAATACTGACATGATTGTGCATGTTTATGTTGCATTCAGTTCATATTTGGGCATTTTAACAGAAGCATTTCTGTTTCCTCAATTTGCCTTTTTTTTTTCTTAGGAAGAAAAAACTGGTCAAACTTTTGATAGACAGGCTTCTTAGGTGGGAATTAGAATGAGCACATTTTCTCCACCTACAACAGTACAACACCTGTTTCTGCTTCAAACATATCAAAGCATGATTTGGTTTTTAAGGGTGACTAAGAATAAACTCTATTAACTGCATTGAATGAACATGCAACCAAATGTTGTGAAATGACAACACTTTAATTTCAATTTATTACTGATATTGTTACTTGATTATAGGACTTGAATAAAAAAATGAATGATAAAAATATCTGTTGTCCAGGCCTTCTTGACTGGGTAATGCAGGCTTGTCTTTTGTTTCATTGGGCTGGTGGATCGGGAAATAGGTTGGCTTTATATTTTTTTTTTGGGATTTCTAATCAAAAGTGGAAAGCAAGTCCATCAAAAAATCTGAGAGAAATCTGGTTTGGGGGGGGGGGGGGGCGAAGAGGAGATGAGAGTGAAAGGGGCGGCATAGAGAGAGAAATCTTTATGAGGGAATACTAATCTGGCACCCCATTGCCAAACTGTGCCGGGTAGAGCTAAATCAGCTTGCCCCTGCTGTGCCAAAGGAGGCGGGAGCCTCATCTTGGCTGTGGGATTGGAGGGATAAAGAAGGAAAAATGAAAATAGGTTTATGGGGTTTTGGGTTCTCTATAGGAAAAAAGTTATTCCTTGCTCAGGTCTTTTTACTTGATAAAGTCTTTTTAGTTGATGGAATTAAAACTGAACTGCTGAAATGCTCAGGTTCAAGTGCTTTTCAGTAGAATTTAGCTAGTGTTGCAGAACAAAAAAAAAAGCAGCCTTTTTTCCTAATATTTTCAACTGGCAATACTGTTGATATTAATAATTTAGACAATGTCATTTAATATATAAGTTTTCCTATGGCAGTCTGATTCTGAAGTTCATATACACTGGAAGGGAGCAGCTGAGATAGTTTTGGCCGCATGTTCTGGATATCTTGATTCAAATGGTTGCCTTCAATCCATGAATGAAGACAAGGTTAGTGATTATGAATATTTACACACAAAAAAAATAAAAATAAAAAATGCAGTACTGAAAGGTCTCCTGGGTAAAAAAGTTAAGGAAATTTCCTTCTCATTTGATCTCCATAATTAACTTTAGCTTGCAAGTCTTTTTAGTTTTTACCATTTGTAGGTTGACTCAGTGCTTTAGTAATAAGTATCTGATGATGTGAAGACTGATCATTAATTTATGGAAACCATATGTTTTGACTTATTGGCTGTCACTGATTTATGGAAATCATGTGAAAACATATGTTTTGACTTAATGCCTGTTCATTAGAAACTGGAGCTTGTGTTTAATACATTAGGAAAGAAAAGGTTTTTTCTTACCAGAATTAAATTGCTCACTTTATATCAAGTCTATAATGTAGTATTGCATGATTAAAAAATGGACTTCGTTTGTTTCTGATTCCTAAATCCTAGCATGATTTGATCAGCATATGCTTCAACTTTTATTTTTAACCACCTTTCTGCAGGATTTTTTTGAGGCTGGTATTGACGAAATGGCTGCAAGTAGCCTGCGCTGCGTTGCCCTTGCATACAGATTGTGTGAACGGGAAAAGGTTACTAGTGATGAAGAGAGCTGTAATGATTGGATCTTACCTGAAGATAACCTTGTTTTGCTTGCTATTGTTGGTATAAAGGTAAATATTTTTAGCAAGGATTCCCCACTTTTACCTAATGGTTGTTAAATCTATCAGTACCTTGACTATCTTTTTTAGCTTTGACTTTATGTTTGATGCTAACAAATTTATGCAAAGCTGCGATGAATGATAATGTGAATGAAAGAAGGAAACTGCTCTTTCCCAAATTAAGTGCAACATTTTTATGAGATATATCACTAAACAAAGTGTTATATGCATGCGCATCCAAGCAAATTGATCTGTTGTTGGAAACAAATTTGATGTTATTTTTGTTGTCAAAATTCTAGTGTTTGTGTTTACCTGTATACAAATACAGTTTGGAAGTGTTTCTTTGGTTTTTATGTGCCATAGAGCAAAAGTGGTCTTCGGGGGAGTTGCCATTTTGTTCAATTAATATGAATATTCTTGTTTTATCTCCGTGCAACTGATATAATCTTCCTCTTCAGGATCCTTGTCGCTCAGGTGTTAAAGATACCGTGAAAATATGTATGGATGCTGGTGTTAAGGTAATTTTGCTGGCTTCGTAAGATTTGTTTTAGAATTTATTATACCGTCCGTATGTAGGATGCTACTTTTATATAGTTCATATGGAATGGTGAATATTTCCTTTATTTTTCAAAGATTTTTAGTTACTATAATTTAGAACGAGTACTTGTAATTTTTAATTACTCTCTTATATATGACCTAAAGTTTTTAATATTTAGGTACGTATGGTCACCGGAGATAATATCCGAACAGCCAAAGCAATAGCTTTGGAGTGTGGGATACTTAGTTCTGCACAAGATGTTACTGAGCCTACCGTCCTTGAAGGAAGGGTATTCCGAGCCTTATCTGAAAAAGAAAGAGAACAAATGGCTCAGAAAATAACGGTATCTATTATGTTTCTTGATTGTATTGCCTTTAGATCCTGATATTATTCTATAGTGTCCAAACATATTTTGTTGATTAAAGCACTAAAGAGTGGCTAATGTAGAAAAAAAGGTATTTTTGGTAAAGAAAATCATACAGTAATTAACAGTAAAATACTTGTATTTACACGACTCAAATCTACAGCTATTTGGGAGTTTATGCAGGTAATGGGGAGATCTTCTCCAAACGACAAGCTTTTGCTCGTTCAAGCCTTGCGTAAGGGAGGGGATGTTGTGGTTGTGACTGGAGATGGTACCAATGATGCTCCTGCACTTCATGAGGTTTGGTTTTGTGGTTAACTTCATTAGATTTATTTATTTTTCTTGTGATGATAGTGCTTTACGATGCATATTAGATGTGGTAAGCATTGGCTTACGGTGTGTTTGATAAACTATTGGAAGTTAAAATTTTTGAATGGTTTTATTTTTTCTGTATTTTAGGCAGATATAGGTCTGTCTATGGGCATTCAAGGGACAGAAGTCGCAAAAGAAAGTTCAGATATAATTATATTGGATGATAATTTTGCTTCAGTTGTGAAGGTTAGCATGCTTGTTTCTTTCTTTCACATGGATATTATTTTTTCCATTTTTACAATATCCTACTGCTGAATTTGAGGTAAGGCTCGTATCGAATTTCCAGCAATTGTATCCTTCAACTTTGTATCCTTAATGTAGGTTGTTCGCTGGGGTCGTTCTGTTTATGCCAATATTCAGAAGTTTATACAATTCCAGCTTACAGTGAATGTTGCAGCTCTTGTAATCAATGTCGTGGCAGCAGTATCCTCCGGTGATGTTCCTTTAAATTCAGTGCAGGTAATGCTCTTTCTCTACTCTCCTATTGCCCCTTGGCCTTGTATCAAATTTCTGACTAGGAAATGACAGCGGGGTAGAATTCAGTTTTATCTAATTTTCTGGATTATGATCTCGGGGTGCTGGGCCATGAACTAAGGAACTGTTCACCGATAACGTTTTTGACTATGTGGTGATTGAACTTAAAAACTAGTGTGTTTGCGAGTAGAATAGACTTCAATACTCATGTTTCTGTTGGGGTGAGAGAAAGGCCAAAACTGGTGGGATAAGTTACTTTATGATGAGTTGATGAAAAAAAATTTGAATGCGAGTTCTTTTGTTGTAGTTACTATGGGTTAACCTGATCATGGATACTCTTGGAGCACTTGCATTGGCCACTGAGCCTCCAACAGACAACCTTATGCTTAGGCCCCCGGTTGGCCGAAAGTCTGAAATCTGAATCTGAATCATTTTCTCATGTGAATACTGTGTACTTTGACTCATAGCACTCTAGTTCTATGTATTGATCATTAGAAATGGCTGAATGTACCTTATCAAGTTGATATTTAATTGACTACTTGTATTGATCTAAATGTTTTATTTTCCCAGAGAACCTCTAATTACAAACATCATGTGGAGGAACTTGCTCATACAGGTATCCGTTTTCTTTGGTCCTCACCATATGATTTTCGCCTGTTAACAATTTACTTGCCTTAGCTTGTGTTTTGCAATATTATTTGACTGAGAATTGTTAACGCGGACCAAAGTCAGGGAATATAGTACAATGGTTCTATGTCTTATAATGTTTTCACATTTCATTTCAGGCGTTACATCAAGTTGCTGTCCTCCTCGTGCTCAACTTCTCAAGCTTGACCATTCTTGGTTTGAAGGATGATGGTGACAAGGCTCATGCTTATAAAGTGAAGAATTCTTTGATATTCAATGCTTTTGTCATGTGTCAAGTAAGTACCAACTGGAAAGTTGAAATTCTGGGGTCTATTTTTTCATTTATCGTAAAGCTTAGAGTTTGATAACCCCTCAAATCACAGAAATTCAACGAGTTCAATGCTAGAAAGCCTGAAGAAATCAATTGCTTCAGAGGAGTGACTAAAAACTACCTATTTATGGGAATCGTTGGATTTACTCTTATACTTCAGGTGAACAAGTCTCATCCTGTCTTATTTTCTCCGTGCACTATTCTGTTTTCTTAGTGGTATTCATTTGTACCTGGTCTGCTCATGATACTATTTCCAACTATTTCACATATAATCATCATTGAGTTCCTTGGAAAATTTACCTCGACAGTACAACTCGATTGGCAGCTGTGGCTTGTATCCATTGGCATCGGCATTATCGGGTAGGGCCACTCGCTCTCGTCGCTCTTGGCCTCCAATAACCTTCATAGATCGTTGGGTTGTCAGTATTATTATTTACATGAACCTTCATCGACGGCTATTATATTTTTGAAGCTGGCCTCTTGCGATCGTGGGGAAGCCGACTCCAGTTCCGAAGACTCCGGTTTCGGCATTCTTCGTAAAGCCATTTCGACAATGCAGAAGGGCCAGGGATGATGCATGAATGGGGTATTTCTGCAATAAGTAAACTCTGCAATCAAATCAAAGAATTGTTAAAGTGTGTATATAGAAAGAGGCGGGCGGTTGCTTAAATCCTTTTTTACACAAAAGGCAACAATCATGCTTGGCTGAGTGAAACTAAATTTATGTATTTTAGAAGGAAGGCTTTGGTGAATCCGAAACCTCAAGGATTTCCTTCGTTTTATGGAGGCACGTATACTTATGAATCAATTTCTCATAGAATTTGAAAAATTAATGACACCGATGAAAAGTATTTAGAAAATCAAGATCCAAATTCCCAATTGATTCTCACAAATTTCAGAAAGCATATGTCCTAGAATGAATCTGCTCGAATTATACTTTCAAGAAAGACAAAATTCCATACGAAATGCAACAATATTATCTTACAAGAAAGACAAAATTCCATTGCCGACGAGCCTGAAGCAAACGATTCCATGGTCACTTTCATTATCAGCTTTAGATTGTGTTCTTCGCAACGGCCAAAGGAGAAAAGGTCAAAGACGAAGCCTTTTTCATTTATAGAGATTAACGGGGAAAAAAAACTACTCCATTTATTTTGTTCTACAATGCAAAATGTTAAAACTAAATATAATATATAAAAAAATTAATTTTTAATTAATAGTTATTTTAATTCATTTTTTTTTCAAATTATTCTTCACGTTTCATTTTAGATCAAAATTAAATATTTTTATGATAATTTCTTAATACGTTGTTATATTCTGCAAACTGTTAAAACTAAATATAGTATCAAAACTTAATTTTAATCCTCAATATTTCATTTTAGATTAAAATAATTTTTTATAAATAAAACTAATTATTCATCAATGTTTTAAAAATAATGTAATAAATCTATGCGATATTACGTACTAATATGACAATTGATAATATTGTATATATAATGATATTGACGTGTATCAATTAATAAAGTTATTTTTTAAGTTAAGTTTGTATAATTAATTATAAGATAAACAACGTATTTAATATCTAAATTATTATTTTTACTTTATTTTAAAACGTAAACTTTTATTTATTTTAAAATTATGTTTAATGTTTATTTTTCGTTTCATTTTATGCATCACTTTTAAAAATTTAATGACATTATAATTTTATGGTTAAATTATATTATTTATCATTCAGCTATCTTCTCACTTCTATTTTGGTCACTAAATTTAAAAAAAATTAATTTAACTACTCAACTTTCAAATTGTTCATATTTTAAGTACTATAATTTATTTTATTAATGATTTTGTGATATGAGTTTTTTTATTAATATATAATTAAAATAAATTAAATTAAAATTAGGATTAATTTGAAAGTTAAATAATTAAAAATATTAAACTTTAATGACCAAAATAAGAGAGAAGATAATTGAGTGGTGAATGATACAATTTACCCATAAAAAGGTTCCACGTACAATTCACCCATTAAATTTTTAACAGTAAGATTTTAAAACGAAACAAAAATTAAACGTTAGAAATGATTTTGAAACAAATGAAATTTAGATGCTAATACAAAATAAAATTGATAATTTATGTATTAAATTTGTAGTTTACCCTTAATTATAATTAGGGTAAAGTATAGTAATGGTCACTGAACATTTTTGAAACTTGCATTTAGGTCCCTCAACATTTAAAACTTGCAATACAGTCCCCCAACATTTATTCCGTTTGCAATATGGTCCCCCAACTTAAACCACAGTTAGAAAATTAGGATAAATTATATAAACGGTCATTGAACTTTTCAGTCACTTGAATTTCGGTCCCCCAACTTTTAAAACTTGCAAAACATTCATCAATTTCATTCTAAACCCCAATTTCCAAAGTAATTCAATTTTATTCTAAACCCTAAATTCTAAAATACTTCAATTAAATTCTAAAATACTTCAATTTAAGTTAATATAGGCTTGAAGAAAGAGTTCAAGGCACAGACACAACGAATAAAAATATATTTATATAAATGTATATTTATATTTAGATGTATAAATAAAAAATATATTCATATATTAATGTATGAATCATTTATATTTTTTGAATATTTATTTTTAATAAGAAATTAAAATTATTAATTATATTAGAAATACTCAACTTAAGATTATATATATAATCATGAATTATAAATATGAAAAATATAATTATTAAATTTAGTTTAAAAATATATAAATCTTAAATTTATTCTTTTAAAATATTGTATCAACTAATATTTAAAAAAATATATTAAATCTATCAAACAATTTATCAAATATAATATTTTTTTATTGTAAAAAATATAATATTTTCCCATCATTTATTGCTTTCAAATTTTTTGCCGAAGTTCAAATCTCATTATTTCCATTTTACATTATATTCTTTTTTTTTCTGGCATTGGTCATACTATTAGTATATGTATTATTGTATATCTCTTAACACAAACGATTGTGTTAGCTTAGTGGCTCGACCCTATATCTTTCATTTGCGTGACTCAGGTTTGAGTTTGCCCAAGACCCAAATTTTACTTCTTTGTAACTTAATTTTCTTCTAATTAGGAGGTGACATGTGTCACCAATAACACATATCATGATCATGTGTTAACACATGTCAGATCCTGATTAAATGATTAATTTATTAAATTTTATTTAATTTAGGACCAAATTGATAGCATATATAAATAATTAGGTGGTAACACATGTCACCAATGACACGTGTCATGATCGTGTGCTAACACATGTCAGATCCTAATTAAATGATTAATTTATTAAATTTTATTTAATTTAGGACCAAATTGATTATATAAATAATAAAGACTGAATGTATATTAATGTCAATTCCTTTTAACTGCCACATCATCATTTTTATCAATTGGTAACGACTAGTGGCTTAGTTGAAACAGTTAAATAATTATGTGGTATGATTGATAAATTTAAAAGATCGATGACAAAAGTAAAAAGGGCTAGATAGTTAAGTTGTCAACCGAGTAGTTTACACTTTTATTTATACGTCAAAATAACATTTTATAAATTTAAAATTCGAATTATTTTCAACCTCTTTTATATCCTAACTACTTTTTTTAATTAAAAAATTTCTTCAACAGATAAGAATTATACTATTATATTTATATAAAAAATACGTATCACATGAAATAAGATGAAATTAAATAATAATAACTTTGACATAATTGAATTTAATTTAAGTATTTTGGAATTTAGGGTTTAGAATAAAATTGAATTACTTTGGAAATTGGGATTTAGAATGAAATTGATGATTGTTTTGCAAGTTTTAAAAGTTGGGGGACCTAAATTCAAGTGACTGAAAAGTTCAATGACCATTTATATAATTTATCATAATTTTCTAACTGTGGTTTAAGTTGGGGGACCATATTGCAAATAGAATAAATGTTGGGGGACTGTATTGCAAGTTTTAAATGTTGGGGGACTTAAATGCAAGCTTCTGAAATGTTCAGTGACCATTACTATACTTTACCCTTATAATTAATCAGAAAATGACTTGTGAAAGAAACAACTAGACAAGAGAAAGATAGTAGAAGAAAAAAAAACATTGAGAAAAGACTTGTGAATTCCTCAGAATCAAGAGATACTATGGTACAATCTTCTCTGTTCATCAACCTCTGTTCCATTAGTACGCAGATACTGATTATGAGTTAACAATAAGAATGGTTCATCAACATGAACATGAACAGGCACAGCAGCAGAACAAACTGAAGCTCTATTCTTACTGGAGGAGTTCCTGCTCCTTCCGCATCAGAGTCGCCCTTAACCTCAAAGGTTCCTGCCCTTTTTCCCTTTCTTTTTCTGGGTTTTAATCATTTTCAATCTATTACTAATTAGAAGTTTCTTTTGGTTTCTGGGTTTTTTTGGCAGGTCTGGATTATGAGTACATACCCGTTAACTTGCTTAAGGGGGAGCAGTTCAGTCCTGGTCAGGATTCTTTTAAATTTTCTGGGTTTATTAATTTGTTTCTAATTCATTAATTATTGAAATTAAAAACATTGATGAAACTTGGGAAATGGGTAGAATTCCAAAAGCTGAATCCTATTGGGTATGTACCGGTGCTGGTGGACGGTGACGTTGTCGTTTCAGACTCTTTCGCAATTTTCATGGTCATTTTTTTCCTGTTTCCCCTTCTTTTCATTCAATTCAATTCTATAGTATTCGTTACTTAGCTTTATTTGTTTGTTTTTAATGAATGTGGAATTAAACCCAACAGTATCTAGAGGAGAAATACCCTCAAATCCCCTTATTGCCATCCGATCTTGCTAAGAAGGCACTCAATATCCAGGTCTCTGATGTCCTCCATTTCTTTTCTTTTTTTTATGTTTTTTGTCTCTAAGTTACGCGACAATAATGAGCATTCTCGCGTCGTTTTATAGGCCGCGAATATTGTTTCCTCAAGCATTCAGCCTCTTCAGAATCTAGCTGTGCTGGTTGGTCTCCGAGTGAATTTGTTATGCCTCCGTTTTGGTTTTTGATGGGATCATTGAAAGATATAGGGATTGCGTTTGATTTGCTGTTTTTACCTTTGCAGAAGTACATCGAGGAAAAAGTAAGTCCGGAAGAGAAAGTTCCTTGGGCAAAATTTCATATCGAGAAAGGCTTCGGAGGTAAGTGATGAGTAAAGGCATCGTACATATAACTATTCTACTAAGATTACTTCCCATGAGGGTTTATTGTTTCCTTCACGCTTCTTTGTTTCAGCACTTGAGAAGCTGTTAAAAGATCATGCTGGAAAATATGCGATCGGAGATGAAGTTGCCATGGTTTGTTCCATTCTGTCATGTTTTTAAATGCAACTTCATGCTCAAAGCACGTGGTAAATCGAGCACAAAGGTGCATATGTTTTGGTGTTTTTGGAATGCTTATATATTTGTTGCAGGATGCGGATGAAAGGATTTCGGATATCAGTTTGAATGAATTTGGCCTGATCGATAGTTTTGGTGAAAACTGTTTTAGTTTCCTGCAGTTATGCCTGATCTGGTAAATATAAATCAGGCATCATCGAGACACAGTTTTGCCCCTGAAGCATATATGCCTTTGTGCTTTTAGATGCAAATGAGTTAATCATAGGTCTAAACTCTGTTTGACGTTTGCTAATATCGCCTTCGGTTACTTGTTATGATGCCCTTTAGAAGTTGACTCCTAACATACAGTAGAAGAAGAAATAGATGAAGTTATATACTCTAGTTAGAAATATTCTGAAAATATACATACACACATAAATATGGCCTGTTGACTCTGTCTGCAGGCAGATGCATTCCTAGCACCACAGATTCTTGCTGGGATACAACGATTCAATGTCGACATGGTAATCTGCTCATCGATGAACATCTTGTTTCTGCTTCTTATTTGTGTTTGTTCATTTCAGCTCAATTAAAGTTTCCATACACACATATATTCTTGGCTAACAAGGCTTCTCTTTTCCTATTATTTTGTAGGCTAAATTCCCGCTTTTAACTCGGTTGAACGAGGCATATAGTGAGCTACCGGAATTCCAAAAGGCTATACCAGAGAATCAGCCGGATGCTCCTTCGGCATAGGGCGCTTGTTAAGACGGTGGATTGATGAGGTACACATATACCTCGGAATGGTTCATTCGAGGGAATGATGAATGATAATAAGGATTATGTTAGTCCTGAAGTTTATGTAAGAATCTATAATATCATATATTATGCAACATGGACATATCATAAACATGTATGGCATGTTTATCCGAATTAAATTGGGTGGTTTAATTCTCCATGTCCATAGTCATATCTCTGTTTGCAGAAATATGTGTCAAAATGTTTTCCTGGGACATTGGGTTCAGTTTCAAGGAGAAAAAGAATGAAATTTCTTCCCAAAAATTAACGAACTCAAACGAACAGATGATCGCACGTAAATGAACGAACGAGCCTTTTGTTCGTGTTCGTTCATTTAATTAAACTGACATAAAATCTTATTCATGTTCGTTTGTTTAACTAATAAACGAACTTCTAGCCGAACGGTTCACGAACGATTCGCTGAACGTTCAGTTCGTTTACGGACCCTACAATAATACACAATTCAAGTATTTTAAGTATAAGAATCACATTAAAAGACTTCATAAACCTGAGAACTTGTTGAATCATTTGTGGCGTTAGCAAATTAATTAAATAATCAATGCATATTTTCTGTACCTAATTAATCCAACCATTCACAAATTAGGATATTAGCAATGTGATGAGCATGGACTATTATAATAATAACATTTTTCTTCGACTCATATTCTAATAATAGCTAAACAAAGCCTCCATTGGTATATTTGCCCATTTTTCCTATATTGATATTTATTTTTTGGTTTAATTCAAATTGATATTCAAATTTATCTATTTTTTCCATAGTAGTATCTAACTTTTTTGGATTCATGTTGGTACCCAAACTTATCTATTTCTCCCATGCCAATACTTTTTCAGTAACAATGTTAGAAGGGGCGATATGATACTCGAGATTGTGCCACAACATCACCTAAAAAGTTATAAAAATGTGAAGCTGTAGGAATTAAAACCGTTACAAAAAAGTACCAATGTGGGAAAAGTAAACAAGTTCAGGTATCAGTGTGGACTAAAAATGTTTAGATGCAAAAGTGGGAAAAGTAGAGAAGTCCAAGTACCAATGTGGACAAAGAAAGTTTGGGTACCATTATGGAAAAAGTGAACAACTTTAAGGACTAAGATGTTAGTCACCCCTTTTTTGAAAAGAATACCTAAGGTATAAACATAGTTGCTTGAATTTAAATTCTTTAAGGAGAACAACATTGGCTTTTACCACTAAGATCATTTATCAACAATTTAAATAGGGTAAACTACAAGTTTAGTACCCAACTATCACTTTTATTCTGTTTTGATCACACAACTATTTTTTATTTCAAAATTATATCTAACGTTTAGCATTAGTTTTATTTTGATCACCCACTATTAAAAAATAAATAGAACTATTGAGGTAGTATTTTTTTTTATTTTTTTCAATGATGATGTGGGAGCGTTGTCTTCTGTAATCGGTAGTATCAACAGACAATATGGTGAGATCTTCATCTTCTCCGTTCATATAGCTTTGTTCATTTACTATGATGGTATTGGTTATGAATTAACAATAAGAATGGTGCATCAACATGAACATGAACAGACACAGCAGCAGAACAAACTGAAGCTGTATTCTTGCCAGAGGAGCTCCTGCTCCTGCCGCATCAGAATTGCTCTTAACCTCAAATGTACTCTCTTCTTTCTTTTTTTTTCCCCTTCCTTTTTCAATCTTTTACTGATTAGTAATCACTTTTGGTTTATGGATTTGGCTGCAGGTCTGGAGTACCAGTACATACCTGTTAACTTGTTTAAGGGGGAGCAACTCAGTTCTGGTTACAAATTTTTTTTTTCTGGTTCAACAATTTTAACATTTTGATTCTATTTCATTGACTGTTGTGATTGAAACATTGTTGAACCTGCGGAAAATGTGTAGAGTTCCAAAAGCTGAATCCCATCGGATATGTTCCGGTGCTGGTCGACGGCAACGTTGTCATATCTGACTCTTTCGCCATTTTCATGGTCAGTTTTCTGTTTATTCAATTCTGTTGCATTCATTACCTAGCTTGATTTGTTTGTTTTTAATGAATGTGGAATTAAACCAACAGTATCTGGAGGAGAAATACCCTCAAATCCCCTTGCTTCCATCTGATCTTGCAAAGAAGGCACTCAATATCCAGGTCTATGTTGTTAAAAGTCAAAGGCACGGGCGGCAGATTTTTTCTACATGGGTTGCTGAAGAATTCAACAAATTTGGGCAGCACCGAATTATTGAAATTGTGAAAGGATAATTACAAAATCGAGTCTTTGAATTTTAGGATATTTACAAGATTAATCCTTAAGCTTCAACTATAAATACCCTAACCCATTTAGCTTCAAATATAATCCCCAAATCATTCTAGGTCTCTCTCAAGTGTTTTTGTAAACACATGTAAATTTTCTTCCTTTAGTAAAAGATATGCCGCAGTCCGGAAACGTATGCATAATTGACTGAACTCCGTTATCAATTTCGGGTATTAGTTTTCCGCTTTTATTTCGCATTCTCACTAATATGGTAATCAGAGCTTTTTGGTTATGAATTTTGTCAATTTTTCTGCGATGTTACCATTTATGTGAATAGTGAATTTCGTGAATAGTGAAATTTGGTCGGCGATACGAGTTCGTCGACGGAGGTGTTCTAATACACGGTGGTTCGCAGAAATTGTCAGAAACGATCCAAACGAAGCCAGATTCGAGTGGGAGCGATGGCTGCAAACAAGGGAATGTGAAAATTGAGAAGTTGGATGGTGCGCTCAAGACCTTCTTGGAAGGACTTAGATCAGGGGCAATGCTCGGGAGAGAGCAAGGTGATGCCCAGAGACTTTCGGAAGCTATAACTGTAGCCAAAAAGCTGTCTAAGCTTGCAGGTGACAAGCCAAGTAGCGATGTGTCATCCAGGACCATGCCCATAGATAGTGGAAACAATGGTGGAGACCGGGAAAAGATGCAGCAGGGAGATGGTAGAGAAAGCACTTCGAATGGTCAAGGTGAGCCATTGACTGTTCGTAGCCAAGGAAAGCCATCGGGAAAAAATGGCAAGGCTAAGTCCGGTGTAAAGAAGAATAGGAGCAAATAAAAATTGAAGTGCTACTTCTGTGATGGTCCTCATTTGATTAGAGGATGTCCCGAGAAGCATCACCTTGCAACCATCATGAAGAGGATGGAAGAAGGAGAAGTAGCGGAAATTGGCACGGTTGCAAGTGTTAAAGCTGCCAAGCCAGGGAAAAGACTTGGTTCGATTGAGGGGATCAATACGGCCAAGCAAGGAACAAGACATGGTGCGACTACAAGTTCTCAAGTAGTCAATCCAAAAAGGAAACATGACGAGACTGCAGGTGTCAAAGCAGTCGAGCACAAGAAGGGACCCGTGTGATAACAAGAGATAAAGCTGTCAAGCTGAGGGTGCAGAGTGAGCAAATCCGCTCACAGTATGCCAGGATGGAGGTGTGGTCCAAGTTGAGGCGTCTCAGGCATAAAGGGACACTTAAGGAGTATGTGAACCGATTCAGAAGACTCATGCTCAAAGTTTCGAGTTTGACTGAAGAAGATGGGTTCTTCACCTTCATGTTCAGATTGAAGCCATGGGCGAAGAAAGTGTTGGAGCGAAGGGAAGTTAAGGAGATATCTAAAGCCTTGACAACCGCCGAGTCAATCAAAGAATTTGGAGTCAAGAAAAACAAGACTTCCAAAACAAAGTCGAAAGCCGAGAGTAGTGGCAAGCGAATCCATGATAAAGGCAAGTCAAAGGATGAGGAATATTTTTCCTCGAGTGGCAGAGAAAGTTCATTCAATGATAAACCAGATAGTGAGTCTGGAGAAGAGGTGTGCAGTCTTGACACAAGTTCAAGTGTCAAAGATACTAAGCCGAGGGTAAGAGTCGAGCAAATAAGGGGGTGCAAACTAAAGGTACCAAAAGTGTTGCGAGACTACCCGAGGGGAGCCGAGTCATCCAATGTGATGGATGAGCCCAGGATCGAGTTGTCCAGAGAAGAGGACGAACCCAAGATCGAGGGGGCGTTGAGAGTTGGCTCAATACATTTCATTTCTGCCAAGGCAAGTAGAAGCCGAGTGCAGGAGAAGTTAGCCATGTCTAAGGAGTTTGTCGAGCATGTTCGTGTAGAGAAAAGGGCTTCAGAGACCATCTTAAGAAAAGGGTTGAAGCAGGGGCTTGTAGAGGATGTTCAAGTGAGGAACAATCATTCAAAGACTAGTGGACAAGAGTCGAAGGGAGCCAAGACGTTGAGGGACAAGGCAACCACGGAGAAACTGCCCAATAACAAGTGGGTTTACAGGGCGGTGACTACAGACAAACTGAAGTTGTGCTCAACTTCAGTTGGCATGCTACAGTAACAAGAGCAGAAATATTGTTGTATTGATCGAGGTGTGAAGACATATTAAAATTAGTCTTCAAGTGGGAGATTGTTAAAAGTCAAAGGCATAAGCGACTGATTTTTTCCACATGGGTGGCTGAAGAATTCAACAAATTTGGGCAGCACCAAATTGTTGAAATTGTGAAAGGATAATTACAAAATTGAGTCTTTGAATTTTAGGGTATTTATAAGATTAGTCCTTAAGCTTCAACTATAAATACCCTAACCCATTTAGCTTCAAATATAATCCCCAAATCATTCTAGCTCTCTCTCAAGTGTTTTTGTAAACACCTGTAAATTTTCTCCTTTTAGTAAAAAATATACAGCAGTCTGGAGACGTATGCATAATTGGCTGAACCCCGTTAACAATTTTGGGTATTATTTTTCCGCTTTTATTTCGCATTCTTACTAATCTGGTTATAGGGAAATTACTCGTACTTGGTTTATTTCCCAACATATGTTTTCCTTTGTATGATTAATTATCCATGTTTTACTGAGCTTAATGACTAATGAGTACCCACACATTGTTCCACAGGCTGCAAATATTGTTTGCTCAAGCATTCAGCCTCTTCAGAATGGAACTGTGCTGGTTCGTGTCCGAGTGAATTCGCCTCGAAAACGAGCCGATACTCGGTTTTATTATTGTTGAAATATACAAGGGGTTGCATTTTATTTGCTGGTTTTAACTTTACAGGAATACATTGAGGCAAAAGTAGGTCCTAATGAGAGAATTCCTTGGCTAAAATTTCATATTGGGAAAGGCTTTGAAGCTAAGTTATAAGGCCTCCTCCTCCAAAGATTAAGTGCCACGAGGGTTAATTGTTTCCTCTAATGGATTAATGCTTCTTTGTTTCAGCGCTCGAGAAGCTGTTGAAAGATCCTGCCGGAAGATATGCAACCGGCGACGACTTTTCCATGGTTTCATCAGATAATTCAATTTTGACAAAAAAATTAAAACTTAAAAGACTAAAATAAATGAAATAATGTTTAATAAATAACATGATCTTTTTAATAAAAGAAAATTTTAAGGGTGCGAACTAAATGACTTCCATAATTAAGAAATTATTGTTATTTCTTGAGGATTCGGATTCTAATACTATAAATGTTAAGGGTGTGATCGTTCGATGTCAATAGATTGAAAGTTGTTTTTTAACAATATTAATTCTTAAACTTTAACTATTATTTAAAGAGTTAATTGCATATATGTCCCTAAACTATAATCATCGTTGTAGACATCCGTCTTTGTCCAGATTTTTTTAGTAGTTTTTATTTATTATTATTCTTATTATTCTTATTATTATATATTAAATATTAATATTTAAGTTCTTTTTGCAGGTCCATGTTACAAGGACCCAAACTAGATACAACCCAGACCGAAATGAACTTTCATACATGTTTTTATAGACTATTTACATATTTAACCTATGTTATTTTAATTTCTTGTGTTTTGGTCTTTAATTAAAGGGTAGTAGTACATATTTGGTCCCTGATTTTTTATTTATCTGAGTTTAATCCTTATGCTTGTGATATATGTATTTATCTATTTTTACCCATATATTTTATTGTTGTTATTCATTTTTGCGCATATATATATAATCTATTTATGTGTCATGTGTATATATTTATTCTTTATTTTGACTAATATGTATTTATATATTTTTTGAGGAAATTGATGTACATATTTATATAATACAAAAAGGGGATATTTTTACTATTGTATTTTGTACTTATATTTAATAAAAAAGGTTATTGTTAATACTATAAAAAATTATGAGATTCTTTAGTAATTATTTGGCTAACCTATGAAAGATCCCAAAATCTTATGGTGTCTTTTCGAGGGTTATTCAAATAAAATAATTTTTAATAAATTATTATTTTTATTCTAAACTAATCCTTAAACTTTTGAGCATTCTGATTACATCCCTAAATTATGACATTCTTTCTAAATTAATTCCCTAAAATTTTTAAATCTTTCAATTTCATCCTTAAATTTATTCAAATACGTAATTAGTTTCAACCATACTTTAACTTAAAAAAATTCAAACATACAATAATATAACGTGACCCAATGGTTTTAGTAACAAGGGTTGCAATTAGTATATATGTATAGTTTAAGATAAATTTGGAATGCTAAAAAAGTTTGGGGATCAATTTAGAATAAAGGTTATAGTTTGAAGGGTGAAATTGAAATGTTTAAACTTTTTGAGGATTAATTTATAATGATAATTATAGTTTAGGGATGAAATTGAAATATTTAAAAGTTAAAATATCAATTTAAAATGAGGATCATACTTTGAGAACATGTGATGCAAATTAACTTTTATTTAAATTTTACTTAAAAATTTATTGAGCTTAAAGGAGAATGGTGATTTTTTTTTATAGAAAGCTGCTAGTTTTATTAAAGATAGAAAATATCCAGAATTACAATGAAGATTTACAAGCATAACCATAAACGAAAACTAAATTATAATTAAGATATTTTTCTATAACCATTGATACAAAATATTATCCACCTAGATCATACAAGAACCAAAGAAGGAAAATGTTAAAAAATTTAACCAAAATGCTCGAACAAAATAAAGATACGAACAAATCTGATTGCATCGCCAAACAAATCACAAAAAGAGGATGAATCTACTGAAAGACCACCGACAAATCACAAATCAAGTCAAGTGACGTGAGAAAACTATCTACCAAAGCAAAACACGTATTCAAATCAATCTGAGGGTCCAAAGCAGGGAGGATCAACATGATAACAAATAAACGACATCGTAATTAGTAGTGGCGATGTCAAATCTAACACTGAGGAAAAAAAATAAACGAAAACAGCAGTCAAGCGACCGAAAACTATCAAAAGGTAAAAAAAAATGTGCCACAAAGACAGAGATAAATGTTCCATAAAAGATGAGATAAATGTGTCATAAAGACAATAATTCTTATTAAAAAAAAAACAAAGAGTAAAGACAATTAACGGTCAACAACCAACATTAAAACTGATACCGTAACCGGCTAAACAAAATCAAAGAAGAAGAAAATTAATTTAATCTATAGAAAATAACACAAATCATAAAAGAAAATAAAGGAAAGGATGGAGAGAGAGAGAGAGCAACTAGGGTTTAAAGGAGAGCGATATTCTCCCTATAGATATTAAATTTAAATAATTATAATTATAGGATATGTATATAGTACCCTATAATCACTTTAGATTAAAGAAAAAATTATTTAACACGTGACAATAATCAAAGTGCATTTCAGTTAGAGATTGAATAATATTGTAAAAAACCACAATAAATTGTAATTTGGTTTCAATTAGAGTAATTAATATTTGAACTTAAGAACATGAACCACTCTACTTGGTTCTAAAAATGAGAGGCAGCGAGCTCAATGAATACGCGCTTCTTCCTGCCTTCATCAGTCATGTCGGTTCCACTCTAAGATGCACTTATTTAATCTATTTTCATAGGTTGTTTATCAATGTGATCAGATATATTTATACTTTTTATTCGAATTTATTTTATTAAAGTTTTTTTAAAAACTTTTCCCTTCTGTGATCTTAAGTGGTTAGTTTAATTTATGTGTTAATGATTGTAAAAAAGTGTTCTTATTATGTGTTTAATTTACAATTGTTGTTATAAATATTCATTATAATTTAGATATTTTCTACTTTTAATAAAACTAACAACTTCTATCTTATTTAAAAAAACATGTTAAACACACACATATATATAATCATTTTAATAAAAAAAATAATCATTTTAATATATAATTTATATTTTAGTCATATTATAGGTAGACAAACATGTTTTCACATTGAAAATGTTTAAAACATATCATTTAGTTCAATTATTATATAATAACGTTATCAATTTATCATATAGTATTTATAATATGTATATGTAACATATAGACGAAAAAGATAAGTTAAATCAATTCATAATAGTTAAATTAACAAAGCTGACATGTTTTTAATTTAATAAACATATCAACAATCACTACACGTATTATACACTTTGTCTCAACATGTAATCATACTAAACATGTTTTTATTATCATATATTTATATCATCAGTATGTGTTCTAAATATTTTTACTAAATTAGTTTAGATTTAAAAAATTTACATTTGAAATAATTGTTATCATAGCGTTAATTATGTCAATAATGACGATAAACACAATACATTAATCTAAAAGTTGTAACCACGATTTAAATTACTGTGCCCTTCTCCTATTCCAACCTCACGACACTTTCGCTTTAATCTTTTAATTACCTTTCTCAATTAACATTTAATTATGCAAACGAGGTTTTTTTTTCTCTTTTACTTTTGTGAGCCACAATGTTAGTTTTGGTGTTGATCGTCACCGAATCTTTATGTTGAGAGTTACTGCACTGCATATGTATGCAGCAGTCCCAGACGTGTTTCCATGCATGCTCATGCATGATATAGTTGAGATGGTTCTAGAATTGATAAGAGTCTAGAAGATAGTTGGTTATAACAGAATATTGTTAAGCAGTTTTTAAAGCTTTGTAAAACTGTTATATAAGCTGGAAGAACGTGAGGCTTGTGATGAGCTTTTGCAATCATCTTTGCTAATTGAATAAAGAAAGTGCACAAGTTCTTGAAGGTTTCTTTGGTATATTCAACATGGCAGCATTCTCACACTTTATCATTAGTTTTCTGTATCTTGTATTGGTTCATTATTTGTTAAGTTTTTATTCTATTTTTTTAATAAAAATAAAGTTTGTTAGACTACTTACTTTTCGTATATTTTGTACATGTTCGTTTGTCCTTTTGACACATTTTAACACTACTCTTGTAACACGTTTTACTATGCTCTTGTGGCAAATTTTCTCTATCTTATGACATGTTCGTTTATCTCTGAGGTAGATATGTGATCGTGTAGTGATTCTCATGTGGCTCATATTTGATTTGTCATTGTCGGTGGCCATTCAGTGTTTAGATTCTCTTTTGTGGTCGTTTGTTGATGCATTTAGATTTATTTTACGAAGTGGGTACTTAGGTTTCGCCCACCACTCCTTCATCACCTCTAAAATGTTTAGTTTTTTAGAGACAAATGAGTATTATTGACGATTATTGGGTGACTATGGATGATGAACGTTAAATTCAAAAAGAAGATTTTGATTATTATTACGACTTTGAATTTCGATTAAACAAATGTTGATTTGATTGCAATTAGATTGGGGAAATACATAATGGTTTTTAATTTCTTCCAATTCTATCACTATATATGACATGTTAAACAAAATGTATTCCTTTTAGTTGGGTTGCAGCCTCACCCTACTACATATCTACGTAAACAACAGCAACAAATAATCACTCTAAAGGAATCAAACCACCTCTACAGATTAGTAGCAATATATATATATATATATATATATGTAGCAGCGGCGCCTATTTGAAAGGGTTGTTACCTTCCGGGATCGGATTCCACTCCCAAAGCCTGTCCAACAAGGCCGCCGTACTCGGTTGTGTCGCTTGTAGCACGTTCAGAGAAAGCTGTTGTGCCTGTGGTTGTGCCGGCAAAGTCGAAAACTACGGTTGCTGTTGTTGATGATTATGCAGATGGAGATGATGATTTGGATTGTAGTATTGTTGCTGGTTCAATGTAGCTTGTTGGAAGCTTACTAGCAGGTGGAGATCGTCGACGACGATGTTCGGTGGAACGGAAGAAGGGACTAGTGGAAAGAGAGTTGTGGGATTGGGGAGTACAGAGCAGCAGCCTTGCTTGGACTGGTGGTTTAACAACATTCCTTCACCTTCCATTTCAGATGGTAATCCGAGTGTCGTGCTGATCGGAGGAGGAGCCATCGGACGGTATACGTTCCGTTTCGAAAGTCCGAGAGTTGTTGTAACATCAGAGGTACTTGTGCTACTGCTTCCTTCGGTTTCACTTATTTTTTCCATGGCTTGTTGAGCTGCTGGTGCCTCTTGGGGATATCTCTTCTCCATAGATAGTTGTCCTCTGGAAGAATCCGACGGCCGCCATGTCAGAAGACAACGTGGTAGCGACGGGTGATCCTCCACTCGGGCTCTCTTGTACACCCGGCAAAGCGATATTTCCGCCTGAAAAACGACACCGGAGCTGGTGAAGAGAATGAAGAAGCAATTCCCAAGCATCAATTAAATGTTGGTGGACATTGAGAGTAGGTTACAGTTATGATACTCGTGACTGGAAGTAATAGTAGTATTGAATACATGTAATTGGTGTAAAGGTTCTTTTGGGGTCATGGAATCCAAAGTTCATGCAGATACAGTAAAGAAATCAATTAATAACAACAAGACTAGAAGGAAACCTTGCAATTATGAATTTTTCAAAAGAGAAACTAGGGTTTGATGAAAGGAGACATATAACAAGATCGTATCCATTTAGAATTTTTATTAATT